AACTGGCTAGTTTGTATCTGCAGTTCCCAGCCTTGACTCAGACCATAGGAATGTTTTTTGATTAGCTGATCTGAGGGCGGTCCGAGGATGGCTTTAGCCTTGAACAGTCTGAGGCTTTTCCTGGAACTGGAACTGGGCTACGTGCAGCCCGCGGTTTCTCTTAATGGAGGCCTTAATTTTTGGCTCTTCACCGTGTTCTGGTGAACAGTTTCTACTTCGTGATCATCACTTGCTTTGTAGGTGTGTAGATCGTTCATTTGTCCGAGTGTAAAACTCTGGCTTGAGTACCCACTACATGCAGGCACTGTTGTGGGCATTGATGACATTCAGAGACCAAATTCAACGGCTGCCGGCCTTAACGGAGGTCTGGCATCCTGAGAAGATAGTGAGCTCTGCCTTTTTATTCTTCACCAGAATGTAAAATATAAAATATAAAATATTTTATATATAAAATAATAGATATAATAATATATATAAAATATATATTATATTTATAAAATATAAAATATAAAAATGTGTTTGCTGATATACAGATGTCTTATATCTGGAGGGTGTTATATATTGAAAATACTTAAACTTTTAAAAATTAATATCAAGGATGATCTTTGGAGTGTGACACACTCCGAAGTGTGGACTCTGGTCTTAGCGGTATCTCCTCCCATGAAACTTAGGTCTTTTTAAAAAAATTGTTTTAGTGTTTAGTTTTCAGAGAGAGAGCAAGAGCTAGCGAGCATGAGTGGGGGAGGTGCCGAGAAAGAGGGAGACACAGAAGCTGAAGCAGGCTTCAGGCTCTGAGCTGTCACAGAGATTGACACGGGGCTTGAACTCACGAGCCGTGAGATCATGACCTGAGCCAACTGACTGAGCCACCCAGGCATGCCGGAGACCGGCTCCGGCCAGGGTCCAGGGGTCCCTGAAGGATGGATGGTGTCAGCGAGGGGGGATGAGAGGCCACGAGAAATTCTTTCTGGTCACCAGGCAGGCATCTCCGCTCTGACTGGGGCTCAACTTTATTTTATGATTAAGTGTTTGAGGGAAGGCACAGAAATGGCATTTGCCTTAGACAATGATTTCTGATGACAAACTTCTTTGATATGTAAGAATTTTCCAAAACATAGGTTTGTAGAAGACTCCTGCATAAACTTTATCAATAGTGATTGAGGTAGGGGATTTAGATGCTTATCCTATGGGGAAGGAAGGTATCTTTAGCACACAAGATAATGTTTTTAGCATAAAAAGGGTGAAGTTACTTCTTTGTAAGCAGAGGTCAATAGCTTGTTTAAGGAGTATTAAGAAAAACAGGTCTTTCAGGAAACACAATGTTTGCTCCCATAATCACAAAAGAAGAAGTTCCTCAATAGGTCCCTTCACAAGGAGCAATCAGCATATTCAAGGCCAGAATAAGTCACTCACAAATGCCTTGGGGGGCCAGTGCTCCAAGCAGTAACAAGTGGGTGGGGGTGGATATCTGTCCTTAACTTTAAATTAGGCTCTCTTCTCAGGGCCAGACTCAGTTGTAACTCTTGTGTTCTTAGCCCCCTTTATTATGTAAGTCTTGGATCTGCAAGGCCCAAAGGAAGAGCCTTTTGACCATCATCCACAATGCTTTCATCTGAAATCTCTTTTGAAAAGGCAGGAATATGCTTTTCCTTATGAGCAATCTGTGTGGGGAATATCGGTCTGATGTGGAATATTGTGAGGCCTGGTCAATACCAGCAGCATCATTTCCAACATGAGCCAGTAGTAGCAGGAGATATCAGTTTTGGTTTCTCATGGCAGGAGGTGTGCAAACGCTGCCATTTCCTCGCAGTGACTGTCATCCAGCAAGGCCAGTGTGGCTCCCAGCACAGGCACCCCTGACAATTGTCTCAGGTGCCTCCTTTGTGAGATGAATAGGAGATGAATACTATGTACCCAAAGAAGGATTAAGTGCAAGGATATGTGTAAAGTGCACACTGTATCCAGGCACAGCAGGTGCTCTGTAGCGTGAAACACATAATTTCTTTTTTTTTTTAATTTTTAAAATGTTTTATTTATTCTTCAGACAGAGAGACAGAGCATGAGTGGGGGAGGGGCAGAGAGAGAGAGGGAGACACAGAATCTTAAGCGGGCTCCGGCTCTGAGCTGTCAGCACAGAGCCCAATGCAGGGTTTGAACCCACAAACCATGAGATCATGACCTGAGCCGAAGTTGGACGCTTAACTGACTGAGCCACCCTGAAACACACAATTTCTAACTGAAGTTAAATAATTTTAAAGAACACAAAAATAGGACCCAACTTGCGGGGAAGTTTGTGGCTGCCTGCTTCCCTGCCATTCTTCCTTCCTGAATGATTTGGTTTGAAAGCCAGTGTGTGGGGAGCAGGCAAGGCTACCATCCATGTCTGGGAGGCCAGTGTGTCTGAACCCAGGCAAGATATGGAGACGGGGAGGCAGCAGGCTGGTTACTCACAGAGGACACTGGTGCAATAAGTAAACATACTGAGAAAAATGGGAGCCAGTTTTCTCACCGTCAGAGAAGGAAATGACAAATATAGAAAACAAAGAAACTAGAATGAACTTTGTGGTATCAGATTTGGAATTGGAAGAGTGGTATGAACTCATGGTTTGTCTTATGCAGAGATAAAGAAATAAATGTAAATGCCTGATACATACAATAATGTATGTAGTGTGCATGGATACAGGTAGATGGATGGATGGATGGATGGATGGATGATTGATAGATGGATAGATAGATAGATAATAGATGGATAGGATGATAGAGCCCCAGCTCTAGCTGAAAACAGTGATATGCTATTTGTTAATCATGTGCATTCCTGGAATCTTGATCTAGTTTCTAAATATTCTTCTCTACTAAAAAGATAATTAGGGATTCTTGGAGAAATGGGTGATTCTAGGATCAGGGCAGGAAAAGTACAAGATGGGCTAAGACCATCTTATGCCAGAAAGTTGGGAAGATCTCCGTGCATGATAAGGACATGTTAAAAGGACACTGAAACCAGTTCAGTGGGCCCCACACTGGACAAATCCAGGGAAAAATAAATAATCTGGCATCAAAACAAATGGTTATGGCAAGAGATGATAACCCACTGCACAAAGTCAGAATCTATGAGTCTATACTGACACAACGAAATGCCATAATAACTAATGGGAAGAAAAATCTTTCCTTATGGTGAAATGCCAACTAATGAATGTACGAGGAACGCTGGAATTAGAAAATCACTATTTGACAACATATTAATTATTAGTGCTGCCAGCAAACATTAATAAATATTCAAACTATCTAGTGGATGAACTTTGATAAGGAATGGAGGATCTGCACGGTCTCACAGTCTCTCCTCACAAAAGTTTTATTGAACTCAAAAGAAAAAGAACAACCCGACAGTGGAGAAACGCAGAAGACATCACTAATCAAGTGATCAAAGGCAATACCACCTGTAATGAATCAAACTGAAATCGTGTACCACTTGAACGGGCACAGCAAGAAAAATTCACCGGGAATGCCAAAAAGCATAACCTGAAATAATTGGAGGAAACGTCTGATGGATCTGAACTGAGAGACATTCTAGAAAATAACTAGCTTGTAATCTTTTAGAGTATGGAGATGGTGAAAGTCAAGGACAAACTGAGGAACTGATTAACAAAGACGAAAGACTGATGAGAAAGTAGCCTTCAGACCTTCTGGCACATGATGTTCTAGGCCCACCTCGTCCTTCCCACGCCCCAGCTAAATGCGGCCCCCATCCTAGCCTGGATCTTTTCTGTAAGGGACATCACGGAGACCACTGCCCAGCTTTCAGTGGGGCTTCGAGGACCAGATGATGGTACGATATCAATGTTGGTTTCTTTATATTGATAGCTATGTTGGAGTTATTTAAGAGAATGCAGTTATTAGAATATTTCTTTACTTTGAAAGAGAGAGAGACAGCATGAGCAGAGGAGGGACAGAGAGAAAGTGAGAGATGGAGCAGGCTCTGCATTGTCAGCACAGAGCCGGATGCAGGGCTTGATCTCATGAACGCTGAGCTCATGACCCGAGCCAAACTCAAGAGTCCAGGGCTCAAACAGCTGAGCCCCCCAAGCGCCCCAGCAGCCTACTCTTCAATGGCTCATGAGAAAAAAAAATTCTTTATACTATCTTTACAGCCTTTCTCTAAATGTAAATAATGTCAACTATACACCAGCCGGGGATGATGGCAGTGATGATTGCCCGGCAGTGAGCATGTACTGCAGGCTGCTGAACTGTATGCTTAAAAATGATAAATGTATGTGTTTTTATTACAATTTTTTTAAAGCTAGGAAAGTGGTAAATAAAAATTAGAGAAGGAATGGTTGCCTAGGAAACACATTTGGAACTAGTGTGTCCTCCAAACCCAAACTGTATATGTGGATGTTGGAAGGATTTGTGTGCACAGTGCCTGCCGGTGTCCTGGAGAAGGGAACTAAATGGACTTCTCTAACACAGGGGGTCTTCTGGGCAGCGTCACCCTGAGGGCTATTAGGAATGTGTAGACAGGGGCACCTGGATGGTTCAGTCAGTTAAGAGTCCGACTTCAGCTCAGGTCATGAGACCACAGCTCACGAGTTCGAGCCCCACATCAGGCTCTGTGCTGACAGCTCAGAGCCCAGAGCCTGCTTCGGGTTCTGCGGCTCCATCTCTCTGTGCACCTCCCCTTCTTGCGCATGTGTGTGTTCTCTCTCTCTCTCTCTCTCTCTCTCTCTCAAAAATAAACAAACATTCAAAACAATTTTTTTAAGTTGAAATGTGTGAACATTTTCCTCTTGTCCCTGTGACTGGGGAGGGGTGCCCTGCGGGAATTTCGTAGGTGAGGGTGCAGGTGAGGGCCAGTAGATGCCAGGCCCCTTGGAGCGTGCAGACAGTACCCAGCGATAAAGACTTACCCTCCAGCCATTCGTGAGCTGAAAAAGAGCTTTTTATAAATGTCTCAGCCTGGAACTCCACTTCCTTTCTAACTGTGAACTATTTGTCACACTTCTCAGGTTCACCGAATTTTCCAGGAATACCATGACCACGACCATGTTGAGAGAAAGACTACTTTGTTGTGTTTGAAAGTCACCAAGAAGCTGCTCGCCAGGGGGAAACTGAGGTCGTCTCTGACAGGGCCACATGCTTGTGGTATTCAAGTGGCCAGTGCACACACCTTCCTCACTCTGCCTTTGCAGTCTTCACAATGTGCATCTGTCTTTCTTTTAACTGTCTTCCAACCAAAACCTTATTAAATCGGCAGAAACATGAATACAAAGATTGAGTTTAATGGCACTAAAAGGATTCTTTTATTTATTTATTCATTCATTCATTTATTAAAAATGTTTATTTTTGAGAGAGAGAGAGGGAGAAAGAGAGAATAGGGCATGGGGGAGGAGCAGAGAGAAAGGGAGAGAGAGAATCCCAAGCAGGCTCCACACTGTCAGTGCAGAGCCTGATGTAAGGCTTGATTTCAGGCACTATGAGATCATGACCTGAGCCGAAATCAAGAGTCAAACCCTCAACCGACTGAGCCACCCAGGCGCCCCACTCAAAGGAGTCTTTTAAAATATATCCTATGCTTGTGTTCCTATGTATATCCATTTGTGTCACTCAAGGATGAGACGTGCGTTGGGAAACTGCATATTGGGATTATTTTTTCATGCCCATTATTTCCTATCTCCTTCTCACCCTGAACAGGGGGTCCACCCCAGGGCCTCTCATCCCTGTTCTACACGTTCTCTCTCCCCTCCATCCTCTCTGCCCCGGAGCCCATTGAAGCCCATGGCCTCCAAAGCGTCATTTCCTACAGAAGGAATTTAAGGAAATCAATATGGGAAATATGTTTTTGGCAGTCCACTGCCCCATGTCAAAGGCAGGAAATTACCTGACAGTACACTTACAGGTGATTCCGTAGTTCCCTGGGAGAAAATCACACTTCCTCAGTTTCAAAATCTATCATTTGTTTTGACACATATTATGACTTTAAAGAACGTATTTTCCCCCTTTCTTTCATCCTATATAAATAATTTTGGCCTGTTATTTATGCTAGTGCTCACTTGTAACTTTTCTCTTTCATTTTCTATACTTCTTCTATACAGAGCCATCTGGTCTTACTTGTCAATACAGTCATTTCTTATAATCAAGTGCAAATAACCATTTCCTGTGTCTTCCAGTGTAGCGAGGCCTCAGCATTTACATATTTTTTTTTCATAAATTACTTTCCTTTATTCCTCCTTAATTTTATAATTAGAACATTAAATGTATTTTTAAGTTGTATGTGTAGGTTACCCCTGAGTATGGGATGGGTCAGGGGTGTCGAGGGCAGTAGTACGAAGTCTGTGCTTGCAGCAGAGGGGGGCAGCTTCAGTCCTGTGTCCCCACTTCCTCATATGTGGGGTGGGCGTGCTCAGCGATGCTGTCCCCAAGGTCCTGGTGGCAAAGTCTAAGTCCTCAGTACAGGTTGCGATCTCTTTTAATCTTCGTGAGTCACCACGGAGAGAAGCAGAGATAAGTACTGGAGGGCCCCAAGAGCTTTCCACTTGCCGGTTACGTGTTTGCTCTTGGGGTCCATGAAGCCTCCCTGTATTCTCCTGTGACTGTTCCTCTTCTGTTTGCACGAAGTCAAGTTAGTTTCAGTTACCTGCAACCACAGAAGCTTGACTAATACAGATGAAAGAAGGCTGACTCTAAAATAGCCACTGCAAGTGAGGCTCTGGCCTTGAAGAGCTAACACAGCTTCAGCATTTTGGAGGCAATGTGATGGCAGATCCCAGTGCTTTCTTGTAGACGCTCTCGGAATCTTCCAGCAGAACACCTATGAAAGTATGCACAATCCAGGGACTCATAACACCCCTGGATGTTAGAGAAGGAAGGGCGCCATGGGCCAGAATGCGGGGGAATTTCCACTAACTTCAGAGTGGATGAGGCCGGATTGAAAATTACCCCTTTGAATCATCCCTCACTGTCATCTAAGCCAGCACAGTAATGGATGACTGGTAAGATGGAAAGGAGGGCTGACTCACCTCCATTAAGAGTTTCTATTAGTAGCTTGAGAACCCTTCTCTGAGCCAGCCGACTTGTCATTCATGTGTGAAAGTAACAAAGATGGTCTCAAGTAGGCAAGGGCTCAAAAAAATCCACCATCAAATATCTTCCTGAAAGTGACATTTCAACGACTAGAAAGGCCATGCAGTGAGTATTAAAACCAATTAAACGTTTACATAATTTTTAGGATACAGTTTCAAAATTGACTAAGCAAAAAACAGTTCTTAAGAAAATATTTATATGAGCAAATACTTGACATATGATAGAATATTACATGAAAACCAGGGAGAGAAAATGAGGAGAGGAGAGCTGTCCCTAAGGGCAAATGATGTTCTCAACTTTAACAACCAGAGAAATCGATTTTCACCATGTGGCTCTTGAACTTGAAGGTAACCTCAGACAGACCTAAGTGGGGTGTCCGTTTCCAAATCAAACAAATAAAATATGACAAGAAAACAAAGAACCTGACAAAGAAGTTAAGAAGGCAGCCTAACAGAGAGCATCTGTCAAGAAGACTGAAGTAGAACCAAGAGCATCAGAAGATTATCCATGGTTAACGACAGATCAAAATGCTTTAATGATAATACAATGCTCAATGAATAATTCATATTCATATGAATGCTGTTGTGTAAACTGTGTATAGAAGGATCTGGAAGGAAAGTGGGAAAATGTTTAAATTAGTTGAATCATGGTATATGTGAATTTTTCTGTTTGTTTTTTACATTTTCTGGTATTTGTGATTTGTCAACAATGAACTCGTATTATATTCGGCAAGGCTCATGACTGCAAACCGCAGAAACTGATGCTGGTTACCATCCCTCTGTAGGACAGGCAGACAGGCTGAGGACTCAGAGAACTGATGTTGCAGCTTGCAGAATTCCCTCTGCTTCCGGGGGGGACATCAGTCTTTTCTCTCTTAAGGACTTCAACTGATGGGATGAGGCCCACCCACATTTGGAAGTGTAATCTGCTTTACTCAAAGCCTACTGATTTAAATGTGAATCTCATCTAGAAATTCCTTTATAGTGAAAAACAATAAATAAGTAAAAATAAAAAATAAAAATACCCTTACGGCTATATCCAGACTAGTGTTTGGCCAAATATTTGGGTAGTGTGGCCTAGTATGTTAACTATCACAGCCACCAATTGGTGAACCCAGGTAGAGTGCCAAAATCCAGGCAGCCAGAATATGGGGGCCCCTCCCCAGTACAAGCCTACCTTCACTCTGACAGTGAGGAGCAGGGCTCCGTGCCTCCCCAGTACTACCTAATGAGAGGTGTCCAGACATAGGAAGGGAAGCTAAGGGCTGCACAGCCTTAAAAAATGACAAATATTTGGCACAGTTATACTCATAAGCAAAATATATATATATTTTTCTCCTCACTAAGGGTTTTCAGGTCCAGCAGCAAGTTTTTAGTGAGATTTGGAGACCATGAGTCACATTAGCCGGTTTTGTGACTTCACCCTGTAACCCAGCAGCTCCCGTACCCACAGTGATTTCCTCTTGCTGACTCTTCTGTGCTGGGCAGCTGATCACCAGCCACTGGTCACCCATGGCAGAAGCTGGGCTCTGCCTCAGTGCTGCCATTCTGCCAGTCCCCGATCCTCTTGTTTCGAATATCCCTCCTCTCTGTCCCTGCGGCACCAGCCTGGCCCAGGTTTTCATCATGTCTCATGTGGAGTAGACCCTGGATCTCCCAGGGCACCTGGGTGGCTCAGTCGGTTAAGCGTCCAACTTCGGCTCAGTTCATGATCTCACGTCCATGGGTTCAAGTTCAAGCCCATGTCAGGCTCTGCGCTGACAGCTCAGAGCCTGGAGCTGCTTCGGATTCTGTGTCTCCCTCTCTTTCTCTGCCCCTTCTCTGTTCACACTCTGTCTCTCTCTCTCAAAAAATAGACATTGAAAAAACTAAAACAAAAAAGAGGACATGAATCTCCCATGTTCCCTTCTCTGCCACCTCTAACCATCCTCACAGGCCTTCAAAGTTGAGCTTCTAAAACACAGTGCACATCCTGCGGTTCTGAGCCTTGCCCGTCTACCTGTGGGTCCCATGCCCAGAGTGCGGAGACAGGTGCCACCTGCTCCAATCTGCCAGCTGTAGGGGACTTCTCACACAGCGAGAACGGGACACAAGAAGCCAGCAACAAGTTGGAAAGTACAGAATTTCAAGTAAATCTACTTTTCCCACCCAAGGAGGTAAAATGAAGCTTAGATTCACTCTACTTTGCTCAAAGTGTTTTTCTGGGTAAAATTTTCAACTTCTAGCCCTTATTGTAAATAACCGGTTATCTACATATGTATTGATGGAACCCTATCTTACCCTTTGACGTGTTCATGTATATACATATCCGTTCACTCGGCGAAGGTTCACGGAGTGCCTGGCCTCTGTCTGGCACCATGGCAGCCACTGAGTGCACCCAGATGTGTAAGAAAAGGCCCGTCTTCTAGGGGTTAGCGCGTGCATCAGTTCTTCCTGGCCACAGGCCTGGTATCGGGGTTAGATTATTAAATGTCTGCCACAGCAGTGGGCACCCAGCCTGCTGCAAGTCTGAGAGTCGAAAACAGTTATTTGAACATTTTATTGGAACTCCGTACACAAAAAAATTAATAAAAATGTGTATATCTCTTTCACCAGTCTATTAAGAGAGATGAAAGGCCAAAACAAAGCTGGCCCAGAACTGAGCTACTCTGTAACTATTCATCATTTTCAAAAGAAAAAAAGGGAAAAGCATCTCTTTCTCTTGGCTTCTTTTCCTGCTCAGTGTGGTAAATCCATCAGCTAAGCTTTTTCCTGTCTCCTTATTTCCATTCCGATTGCTGCATATGCCAGAGGCTACTGAGTCACTTATCTTTAACAGATGTAACAGTTACTCAAACTCTCCAAAATATTTGGTAATTGTGGAAAGAAGCACATTTGTGAGGCTTTATTCCATGGATATAATTTTGGCTATGCAACTTTTAGTGAAAAGCATAAAACATCCTAAAGCTTCTCTCAAAACACCCACT